CACCTGAGCAAAGCTATTGGAATGGGAAACCTAGGGCCTTCAGGAATGAGAATGGAAGGCGTAGGATTTGGAATAAAAAAATAGGCATCAAGGGCCCCTTTAGTGGTGGCATGAAAAACATGGTGATTTGGATCTGGGATGAACATGGGTTGGATAAATGAAATCCTAAGTAATGCACTGAAGGGAGGAGAGATCATTACAAAGCAGGGAGGAGGTGGAGGTGGAGGCAGCCTCCCTGGGATTGAGAGGATGGGCCCGGGCATTGACCGCATTGGGGGTACCAACATGGAGCGCATGGATGCAGGCCTGGGCCACTGCATGGATCATGTGGGCTCAGAGATCGAGTGCATGGAGCTGGTCATGGACTAAATGGGCTCTGGCATCGAGTGCATGGGCCCACTGGGCCTCAACCACATGGCCTCCAGCATTGAGTTAATGGGCCAAACCATGGAGCAGATTGGCTATGGCGTGGAGTGCTGGGCCTTGGCATGGGCTTTGGCCTGGAACATACTGTGTAGGCTAAACTGTTGAGGCATAGGCCTGAGCACAGAGCGCATGGTGCCTGCAGGCATGGGGGCTGGCCTGGAGCACACGGTCCAGTGATGGATGGATCACATGGCCAAACAGCCTCGAGTGGATGGGTGCCAACAACCTAAAGGTCATGGGCCCCACTCTAGGCACTGGCATTGAGCCCAGGGGCCTGGCCATGGTTGGCAGTGGTGGTGCCAACTTCGACCGCACCAAGATGGAAATGGAAACTTTGGAGGAAGCTTCGCAGGTTCCTTTGGTGGACCTGGAGGCCATATTCCTGGGGTGGCCAGGAAGGCCTGCCAGACATTAGTTTGAAATTTTCCATTTGATTTTACATGGAAGATGCTAAAGGACAAATGCAACAAATGTGGCCATGTGCTGTATGCTAACATCAAGATGGAGAACAGGATGTCCAAGGGTGTGGTGTGGTTAAGTTTGGGTCATCAGAGATGGAGCGAGCCTGCCGGATGACGAGAGTCATGAAGCTGAGTGGCTGAGAGATTGATGTTCAGATTGATAGAAATGCTTAAGCAGTTGCCTTTTTTTTCTTTTTTTGTACCAGGGTACCAGGGATCGAACCTGGGACCTTGTGTGAGGCAGGCGGCGGAACCACTGAGCTAAATCCCCGGCCCTAGCAGTTGCCTTTTTTAAACATCAATATTAGACTTTTGAATTTGTATTTTTTCTTGTTAATTATTTTCATTTGTTGGCTGGATGTGTAAAGACGTTTAAAACATTTAGTTGCTTTTTGGGTAATTTGAATTACGTTTTTAATGAATGGGGCTCTATTTGACTGCATAGATTGCAATGTGTGCAATTCTTTTGGTAGTTGTGGTATCTTGTTGACATTGAATATGACTTTGATAATAAACACTAGTTTCTAGAAAAAAAATAATATTTAAACTTGTGTTTTTAGGAACTCAAGAAAACTGAAAACGTCAGTTAATTTAGGGTTATAATATTTCTGCCTGGTGGTTTGTGCATCTATTAAGGTCATAGACTTCTTTTTGACATGGTTTATGGTTCTTAATCCCAAATATCTGAGTGACATTTGATCATGGCATCTCATAAATATGCCTTGAATCAGCCTGTGGGTACTTTTGTGAGTTATGGAGTCCATTTTTAATGTTTTAATTTTATGATATGAAGAACATTTAGACAGTATAATATGCCATAAGGGGTGATGGGTTAAGAATTTGAAAACTGTTAACATGTGTTATGTTTTATATCTGGATATTTCTCCGAAGCCTCATGTGGTCCTCCGTGGGGTTTTTGGAAGGTGATTGGATCATGGGGCATGATATTTGTCAGTGAATTAGTCCACTGATTAATTTATAGCTAAATGTGATTTGGAAGGTGAGGCTTAATTGGAGGAAGTGGGTAACTGGGGGTGTAACCTGGAAGAGTATATTTCCCTCCCTGCTCCCTCCATCTCTCTGCTTCTTGCTGCTCTGTCCTGAGCTGTTTCTCCTCTGCCATGCCCCTCTGCCTTGCTGCCATGTTGGAGCCAGCCAACTATAAACTGAAACCTCTACACTCTGTGAGCCAAAATAAATTTTTCTTCCTTAGAGTTGTAGGTGGATAATATTGTGTCTCTGACAAGAAGGTAAGACAGCATGACATGTATTTGATATGTTATAATTTATATTTTCCTATCTGTATCTTTTAAATCCTAAACTAGACAGGGTTGTAAACATTTTCACATATAGTATTATCTTGGGCAAAGCTAGATGTAAATATTTCATCTTAATCTGTATTTGAGAAATCTGAAGAGCATAAAGCAATTTAATGAGTGAATACAGATTGATCAGAGGAGGAGAGGTGGGGGGACTAGGTCAAAATTATTAGTAGCCTGGATATGAAGTTAGTAAGGGTGCTAGAGGCATGGGAGTGTAACTCAGGGGTAGATTTTTTTTTTTGGTACCGGGGATTGAACTCGGGACCTTGTGCTTGTGAGGCAGGCAGCAGTAGGGGTAGATTTTTGCTTGGCATTTGTGAGTCCCTGGGTTTGATCCCCAGCACTGAAAGAAAAAAAAAAGGATATAAAGGATTTTTTTTTTTGGAGAGGCATTAGAAATGTTTACTAACTAGGCAGAATTAAGCAAGTACATACTCACAAATAATAGAATGTGAGGCCTTGAGACAGGAGCCCGACCTTTTGGGAGAGATTCTAGATAATCAGTACTTTAAAAATATTTTATACAAGAGCTGGGGGTTTAGCTCAGTGGCATTGCACCTGCCTGATAAGCATAAGTTCCTGAGTTCGATCCCCAGTACCACACACACACAAAAAAAATGTCCTAAAAACATTTTATACAATTTTCATTGAAGAAACACTTTTTTTGCCCTTTTAATTTCAAAAGTAATACAGTGATGCCAAACAAATTAAACACTACAGAAATACAGTGTGGGAAATACATTACTTTTCTTATTACTCTGTAGTTCCATTCCATTACAGTACATGCTTTAAACAATTTGGTACAGCCAGGTGTGATGGCACGTGTCTGTAATCCCAGTACTCTAGAAGCTGAGGCAGGAGGATTGCTTGTGAGTTCCAGGCCAGCCTGGGCTATATAGTATGTTCAAGATCAGCTTGGACTGCATATCAAAACTCTGTCTCAACAACAACAACAAATAAAAACAAAAACAGAAACAACAGTTTGGTCCATTTACTTTATTTGGTCATTTACTTACTCTGATTATTTATGACATTTAATACTCATTTATTATCTGATGTAGTAGTAGTATTTTATATTACAGAGAGTTGTATAAAGTAAAAAGTCTTTCATCTCATACTCTATATATAAAACCACTTAAAATAATTATTTTAGTTTTTAAACATACACAAGTCTTTTTTTGTTTTGTTTTTTGAAACAAGGTCTCACTATGGCCTTGAACTAACTTGTGGCTTCATAATTTCTCCCAGGTGTTGGGATTAGAGGCATGTGCCGCCATGCCTAGCTTCCAGTATCTACTTTTAATCCTACTTTGTTTGTATATATCTCTTTCCTCAAACACACTAGATTATTTTAGTGTATACCCTAGACATCATATTATTTTTGTTGTTGAATATTCATAAGGAGTCTCTGAGGACATAAACCTTACCAACAATGCGCTTATTACACTAAAAAAATTAATAGTACTTCCTTAAGATCATCAAATATCAACACAGTGTCGAAGTTTCCTGGATTACCACAGATTTTATTTTTCAGTTGATTTATTTTAAGTAGGATCTAAACAGGTCCATACAATACATTAGGTTATAAAGCTCTTTTAATGTACGAAAGTTTTTACTTCCCTGCTTTGGTGGCATTCATTTGTAGAAGAAACTGATTGAAAGATGTGACTCTGCTCTTCCCTTACTTTTTAACTTTGTGTATGCTGTTCTCAAGCTTCCTTACACTAAATGTGGTTTTATAGAGTTGTGGTTTTTTCATCTGGTCATTAGATGGTGACCATCTATGTCATCAAGTTCATTGAAAGAATTGTTAGTCCATGGTAATGATACTGGAAGGAAAAAATTGTGTTGGACTTATTGAGAGCCTGTGTATTGGACTTTGAAAATGATTGCTATGTATAAAATGTTTGGATAATGACTGACATTCTTTTTTAGGAACTATTAACCCACCCCATACTTACCTAGTACATTGTTATTTTGCTATTTTAATGCAAAATTTATATAAATCTATTTGTATTATAGACTCTTGAGTTACTACCAGCCTGATAGACGAGCAGCTTGGGTTACAAATAAAGTCTTGAGTTACGACCTGAATGCTGGCCGATTGTGCTTCCAGATGGTCTCAGATACAGATTTAACCCTTAAAAGAGTTCTAGAAGGGATATTACAGCATCTTTTCCTGTGCAGGGTTAATTGAGAAATCCTGGGCCAGTGTCTCTCTAAGGGTACTGAGATCTGCCTGTATACAGGAGAGAGACTTTGAAGGCTGTGTAGAGGAGCCTGGGCCTTCAGTTGATCAGCTTGAGTTAAAACCAGCCCTCAGAAAAGAATTGAGTACATTAAGTCAGGGGTCCACTGTATTTTATTTTATTTTTTGTGGTACCTGGGATTGAACTCAGGACCTTGTGCGTGCTAGGCAGGCGAGGTATGACTGAGCTACATCCCTGCCCCCTGTATTTTAAATTGCACTGGAGATTGAATTCAAGGCTTCATGCATATATTCCACCACTGAGCCACACCCCCAACTCATTTAAAAACTTTTTTTGAGACAGGGTCTTGCTAAGTTGGTTAGGCTGGCTTCAATCTTGTGATTCTCCTGCCTCAGGTTCTTCAGTAGTTAGGATTATCGGTGTGCACTGCTATACTTGGCTATGGATATTTTTTAATGTGGGAATGTTAGGTAATTTTTCAGTGATTTGAACTTTCAACTTTTGATTTCCATTATATTTTGGCATTATGTAGTTTTTCAGGTTCACTTGTTATATTGTAATTATTATTCCTTTTTCTGTAGGCTTTCAACAGACCTCACACCTCTCCTATGAAATTATAACTCCCTGGAGATTAACTAGAGACCGAAGAGAAGCCCCAAGGCCCTTTTCAAAACAGGTAAGTTGTTTCTTGGGACCTATGTAGATATTAACATTTTTCTTTTCTTTTCTTTTTTTTTTTTTTTTTTTTAAAGCAGAGGTATTTTCAGGAGTGCTTGGTTCAGGGAGTAGACAGTTGTTATTTAGTACAGCACCATATGGTACTGATGCCCGCTAGACATTATTCTAGTTAAAGCAATATTTTGAGCCTTTGTATCTTTTTTTTTTAAAAGACAAAAGAAATCAACTCAAAACATAACAGGATGAAATAAGTAGAATTCTGTGACCAGGTTAGGATGCTGATTGCATAGATTTTTATCCCTTAACTGATCAGCAGTGGTCACAATGGTTTTACTTAATAACAAGAACTAACCCCACTCAGATTGTAATAGGTAGAATATTTTATACTGTATTACTGTATCTTGATTGACACTGGAGAAGAGTAATATGTAAAATGCCTCTATTTAGGAGCTTGTATGTTTGATGTCTCAGTGCAGGATTGAGGTGGATAAAAGAGTTCTGTCAACAGAACTAGGATCCAGGATCCAGTCTTTAAAAGTTCTTGGTTAACGTGCCCCAGTAGAGGGGATCATGTTACTTCTTGACAAAATGTTAACTTAGAGCCTGGAAACAAGGGAAAATTAAGTAGGTGCTTCTGATAATATTATTTGTTGAGTCCCTTTGTGACTTACTTTTTTATTAGAGTTAAGAACCAGTTGAATCTAATGAAATGGTGAGTTGCTGGGTGTGTTAGCTTTTCATCACTAAAATGAATTAACTGACTTATAAAGAGGAAAGGCTTATTTTGGATCACAGTTTTGGAGGTTCTGGTCCATGATTGATTGGCTCCATGGTTTGGGGCCTGTGGTGAGGCTGAACATCAAGGCAGGACAGAACTGCTCACCTCATGAACCAGAAGAGGAAGTGGTTGGATCCTGCAGTCCTTTCAAATGCGTGTCCCGAGTAACCTGAGGTCCTTAACTTCTTGCAAGTCCATAGTACCTTCCACAGTGCCACTCTTTGGACCAGACTTGTATTACTGGACCTTTGGGGAACATTGAAGATCCAAACTATATCCCTGGAGAAAATGTTTTAGATTGTTAGATGTAGAGAAGAGGGTCCCATGAGTTTAAAGATGTGGAATGTAAGTTATCTTGTCTTAATTCATTGACTCTACGATGCTGTCAGTTGTAAGACACTATATTATTTTATGTACTCCTGACAAATAGAACTGTTGACCCAGGAATGGCAGCACTTGCCTGTAACCCCAGCACTCACGAAGGCTGAGGCAGGAGGATCACAACTTTGACTGATACTCTTAAAAAAAAAAAGGGCTGAGGATGTTGCTTAGCGCAAAGGCCCTGGGGTTAATCTCCAGTACTGAAAAACAAACAAAAAAACTCGAAGCAGAAGAACAATAAACCCGAAACTTTCTCCAGTTAGATTTCTGTGCCTTTGTGTGGTGCATCCTCACCCCAGAGATGTTACTACGAAGTAATGGGGAGTGTGTTTTAGAATGGACGAAGTGAAGTGGGCTGTGTAAAGTTGTAGTGTCTTAATATGGATTTCTTTTCTACTTTTGGGAAATTAGAACTAGGAATAATCTTTTGAAACTAAGAAGTTCATTTTATTTAAACAAAAGAAAAAACTGCTTTATCCTGTGGATAACACATGGGTGGTCGCTTCCCTGAAGTTATAACTGAATTAGAAATGAATTTAAGAGTTTAGATAAATATATGGTTTATTATTATTTAAGAATAGTTACAAATTTCTATAAATGTACTGTAGTCAGTACTAAATTATTTTAATTCAGAATAGAATTTTGTGTCTTATAAATGACATTTTGTTGAAAAGTAATTTATAAAATAGTGTTATTGGTTTTGTTTCCCCCCTTCTCTGCATTTAGGTATCTTATGTCATTCAAGCTCAAGGAAAAGAACATATTATTCACTTGGAAAGGAACACGTAAGAAATTTAATTTACTTTGGCTTTTTGATAAATCCTTCTGAAATAGTGTATTGATTTCTCTTCAAGGTAGATACTTTTCAGTAGCTGTGAACCGCAGTAGTGGCCAGATCTCGCCCTTGCTGTCACTGCTGTCTGCTGTCACTGCTGTGCAAGAGTAGAATTTCCTCTGGAGAAGCACAGAGGCATTTGTGCTAGGCTGGGCAGGGAGTGTCTTCCAGAAGGAGGAGGGCAGAGAAGAGCCAAGCATCTCCATGATCCTTTCACATTCACTAGAGGGAAGGAAAGTGGTGTGTGTGTGTGTGTGTGTGTGTGTGTGTGTGTGTAGTGTAGGGTTGGGGAACGAGGGAGAAGAGGAGACTGAAGTGATTAAACAGGGTCAGCTGTGGAGAGGACTCAAGATTGCACAGGCCGCTCCCCAGCACACTCACGCAGACTTTAATGAAGAGTAAAGGAGCATACATCAAGGCAAAGAAAGTGCACACAGACCTTGAGCACTTCTTCCCCGGGGTCCTTTCTCAGTCACATGGATGGACATGCTTTGCTGCAGTTATCAACCACTGAGATGGTGATCTCAGCACAGTATTTTCTGAGGGAGGCCAGGTATAAGTTTATTGAGGGTCTTTTATACTATGCTGGCCATGTAGCTAAAGCCAAGCTGTGTAACATGTTAAATGGGTTGAAAACTATCAATTTGTCCATCTCTAAACAGTATAGATAAGTTAGTCCTGGGTGTCTCCAGGGTGTTTTGAGCTTCATTTTGAGAAAGGGGCTCTGTTGTGCAGGCTAACTTCGACTTGTGATCCTTTTGCCTTAGCCTGCTGAGTAGGTAGCATTACAGGTGCATGCCACTGTTCTTTCTATTGGTGAGGATGGAACTCACGGCTTCACACCTTCTAAGTGTTCTACCTCAGAGCTACATCTCCAGCCTGCCTTTTAAACTTAATTAGCATGTTAATATTCATGACTGGTCCCTAAGGCCTGGGGACCAGCAGAGAGCTGCTCCACTCCTGTGGTGAGGGAACCTTGTCTTTGCAAATGTGGCCTGTAAACAGCTCTTTAACATGGAATAAAGCTCTGGGAATTGGAAATAGTTGTTTCCTTCAACAAATGAAAACAAGATTTTTCCTCAGTACTTAGGTTAAGAAAATGAATGCTTCTTGTTTATATGGGACATTAGAAAAAGAGTACATACTTATTTTTCTTTTATAAATATGATGTGCTGTCAGTAATTTAGTTTTTTTTTTCCTGTGAGTTGTAAAGTTTAAGAAACATTATTTATATTGCTTTAAATTTTTACAGCCAACATCTTATGCCATTACAACAAATTGTAGGTTAACATCACTTATGAGTAGGGAATGTACACTATATCAGATTTAAGACTGTTTATGAACTTTTAGTTTTATGGTAGTATGTTCCTTAAATGAAGATTAATTGGATAAATTTTTTATTTATTTCTGTTCATCTGTTCTGGGAATGATTCCTTATGAGTTGTGTCCTTTAGTTGTTGGTAATTCAAATAAATATAAATGGTATGTGTTTTATTCCTTTTCCAGAGACCTTTTGCCTAAAGATTTTGTAGTTTATACCTATAACAAAGAAGGGGCTCTGATCTCTGACCATCCCAATATACAGGTAATATATTTTCCTCTTGATCCTGTAGCAAAATTTATGATAGTTATATTTTAAAGTGAGTACTAGTCAGACATTCAGGACTGATATGTGCATAACCTTAATGGGACACTTTTAATGTTATAATGCATGGGTGGCCCTGGAGGAGGTGGGCACTTACATAGACTCTCCTCTACCCGGCAGCTGTTCAGGTCCATAGTAGTTTTTTTTCTTAAATTCCAGGAAAATAATCTTTTATTTAGTGATAATCCTTATTGATTATGAAGGGAAAAAGTTTGATGTATTTTGAAACTAGTTTTTTTATTGTTGTTGAAAATTAATACTCCAAAAAGAACACCTTGAGTCCTTATGAAACCATTTGTCATTGGTGTTTACTTTGCTGTTATATATTCTAGGGTTGTAATGTTTTGCTGAAAGTATTTCTTTCCTAAAGAGGTGTGTTCTTTTTTGGATCAAATGACAAAATACTCTTGGGGACAGAAGTTGCCAGGAAAACTCAGAATAATTGGTAGATATTGAAATTGACTTTGTATGTTTTTTTAGAGTATAAACATTTCTAGTTTTGTTTGGGAAGAGTGCTTTACTGTCCCTTTTGGCAGTTAGGTAATATACATTTTTTTCTTTTGTAATAGTTTTCATGAGAAATCTTTTTTCCTTATGTTTTTTTTTTTCCCCTAAATTTTATAATGTTTTGCTAGGTTGACTTGTTTATATTAGTTATTCATATGCTTTTTGTTTTATGAGACAAGGTATTCCTATATAGTCCAGATTGGCGTTGAACTCACTGTGGAGCTCAGGCTAGCCTCAAACTCACAGTGATCTCCTGCCTCAGTCTCCTTAGTGCTGGGATTACAGGCATGTGCCACCATGCCCACCTAGTTTTTTACTTTTGTAGCATTCTACAACTAAATAGAAGGGAAAAATCTTTATTTTAGGTTAATTATTGTTATTTTTAAAAAATGAGGAAATACTGACTTTGCCCTATCCTTTTTTTGGTCCACTGTATGATTCATTAATCTTAGTGAACTGTTTGTATATTATTTAGTAAAAATTAGTAGAAGAGATTAAATTTATATTATAGTGTAAACCAGGTTAAAAAAAAATCCAGCTATCCTTTCATCTGTCCAAAGATTACTATGGCGGGAATCCAGTGACTACATAATTTATGCACTTAACAAAAGCAATAATCTTAAAAGACATTTTTTTTTTCATAAAGATATCTTGGCATGCCTTTTTTGAGATACAGAGTGGGCTTGAATTTTGGCTCTGTCATGCATTTGCTGGTGAAGTTACATTAACCTCTGGGTGCTTTAGTATTCCACTTTAAAAGGAAATAATAGTTATTACTTCATGGCATTAATATCTGTGAGATGCTTAGAACAGGCATTCTGGAAAAATTTTAAAAATATAATTATTTGTTATTAAAATATATATATTTAAGATTGCTAAAAATAGATTTCAGTTTATAGAAACAAATAACTGTCATCTTAACATGGAATTGTTTTGTTTTCCTGGATGTTTGAAAATATCCACTGAAACACATAGTTTTCCATTTATCTTGGTTTTTAATATTATTCAGATAAGTGTGAATGTACATTTGAAATACAAATGAAAACTTTGATACTGAGATGTTTTGCATGTTGGAAGATTGTCAGGAATCATAACAACATGTAGCTTTGTCCATAAAATATAATTAAGTCACACTGAGAAAATTTAAATGCTTTCTCCTAGTAAAACACTCTTCCCAAACAAGATTGTGTTGCTTAAGATTGAAGTAATTTATAAAATTGTTTTCTAGCTTTTGTTATCAGTGTCTTTCACCATTTTTCTTAAGAAACAAAGTTTTAGAGAAGTGACTTAACATGAGTTGTTGTGTGAAATAAACCTCCAAATTCCTATGAATTTAGGGTATCTTGTAAATGCATGAGATATTCTCATAAATATTTCCCCTAGTTGATTGATGCCTTTGTGTCCTCTAAAAATATATTGATTACTCAAGGCTCCTTGGACCCTTGTGGCCAGTGGGTTCTGTGTGCTCTTGCTTCCACCAGGAGAGTTTTTTTACTTGCAGTTTGTGTGTTTCCAAAACCATTTATGCCAGTTGCACCTTTATTGTATTCTTGCAACTTCACTAGATATTTTGTAAACTTACAAGATAGGATTTGTTGTGTTTTTGACAGCTATAAAGTGAAGGGAAACTTCCTTTCCATCCTCTGAGAGTTTCCTGGGAGAATTTGAAAAATTCTTAAATAGGAGAAAAGGCATAAAACTTGATCAACATGCAGTCCCACTGCAGGAGAAGGTCACAGGAGTGTGCGTGTCCACCAGCTCAACACTAATTTAGAAACGTATGTGCCCTTTTTCTATAGAGAAGGATAGGACGAGGAATGTCAGGAGAACGTAAATGATTTTTTAGGAGGACTTGATGGTTTTGGAGAATATAACATGGCTTGGGACAAAGTCCATTTATTTGACCCACAGGACAGTGGTTTGTCACTGTGTCTATGGGACTGAAATAGAGGACTGTGGTGTGTGACAAAAGCCTGTCAAAGTGTCCTGATGGACTTCAGACTTTCTTCCTGCAATGAAAGTCTTCTCTGGTTAATGAAATTTCAGCAAGAAGACTGAAGGTAGTTGTGTTCTTCTTGGCAGATCTGGTCAGTTAGGTACAGGAACTTTGCAACAGAACTAAACTGAATACTGTAGAAATATTTAATAAAAGCAGGTTATTAAACAAATACCATCAGGTTGGCAGGTGAAGGGATCACCTGCTGGGTGCCAGCCAACTTAGTTGTTCTCAGGGTATCAGATCAGTAAACGCAACCTGTCAAGGAAGTGCTTGACCTTGACCACACTGACCATTTGGTTCAGGAGGTGTCTGTTGGGCTTCTCTGCTGTAAAGTTGCCATCTCTGCCTTTTAAATTAATGCTATGGGTAGATACTTTGAGACTGTGAAAAGTGTCCTGTTACTTCTCCAGAGTTTACCCACTAAGTTTCAGTATTTAGTTTTTGTCTGAGTCAGTTGTTGCTATCACAGCTACCAAAATGATAATTTTCTAATTTCATCACTGCTAGAGTGAGTTCTACTTTAAGGAAGAATTTTCTCTATTTCTGTCAGTATGGATTCAGAGATACTGTCTTTGTCAACGTGTCAGATAGAAAACCTTTTCATACATCTAAGAGGATTTTTATATGACATAAATTGTGTCAATTGTTTATGTCTTTTGCCCAGTTTTCTATTGTGCTTAAAATTTTTTTTTTTTTTTTTTACTCATATTGGGATTGACACTAGGGCCTTTGAACTGAGCTACATTCCCATTCCTTTTAAAAAATACTTTTTATTTTGAGACAGAGTCTCACTAAGCCGCTAAATTGCCCAGGGTGGGCTTGAACTTGGAATCCTCCTATATCAGCCTCCCATAGTGCTGGGATTAGAGGCATGTGCCACTATCTGGCTTAGGCTTTTATTATTTTCCCCTCAGTGTTTAAAATATTTTTATATTTAGTGATATATTAACCCTTTACCTGTCAGGTAAGTTACAAATACTATCTTCTAGTCCATTGTCTTTTGACTTTTTTGGGGTGTTTCTTTCCATGTGGAGACTTTAAGAAATATTTTTTATATTTGAGTGACAAGCAGGAAGTCTTTCTATATCAAAGTTAAAAGAGGAATTCACTCTTAATTTCTTCTAGATCTTGTGTTTTTATTTTTATGTTTAAATTCTTGATCTGTTTGGAGTATACTTTTACAAGGTGTGAATTATGGATACAATTTTATTCTTCTCTAATGTTTAATTAGCATTTATTTAAAAGTACAGCTTTGCCCCTGTGATTTGAGATGCTGCTTTTATCAAATAAATGTCTATATGTACTTGTGGTCTATTTGCAGACTTTCTCTTCGGTTCCACTGGTTCAGTTCTCTCTAGTAATCCTCCAGTACTCTCCTGTTTTAATAATCAAGGCCTTGTTTTTGTCTGGTGGAACTGGTGTTCCCTGAGCCTTGGATTTTCTATTTTAAGACTTTGTAATTTTCTTTTCAGTGGTGTGAACTGAACCCAGGGCTTTGGGCATGCTAGGCAAGTGCTCTACCACTGAGCTAACTCTAGCTTCTAAAATTGTTCTAGAGATAAGAAAATCTGCTTAGGTACTAAATATTTGGTATTACTAAGTGTATGTATGTATGTATGTAGTACTGGGAATTGATCCCAGGGAGCACTGAGCTACATCCCTAACTTGTGATCTTCCTGCCTCAGCCTTCTGAGTAGGTGGGATTACAGACTTGTGCTACCATGCCTAATTTACTAAATGATGTTATTTTTGCATATCTATTGGTTAATTTCTTGCTCCAAAGTAAGATTAAAGCCTCTGAAATTTTTAAAGATGGCCAAATTTACAGTTAGTAATAATATAATATACCTAAATAGGAAAAGAAAATCATCTGATCAAATAACTTTTTCCCTTTATACTGATTTTTTTGGGGGGGAGTATAGGGGCTTCATTATCCTCTCACAAAATCCTCTTCTGAATTATATGTCTACTGGCTGCTGATGCTTCTTGGATTGACTGTGATTTAAAATGTTAGACATAACAGTGTTGTCCTGTTCTGCTTCTCTGTTGAGAGGTCATTGGGACAGAGCTGTGTGTATTGAGTAACTGCTGGGATTCTGCCTGTATGTTTGTGTACTTGTAGGATGAGAGTAGGTAGTCTGCAGGGAGTCTGGAGAATACTATCTCAAATTCTGAAATGCCAGTAATATAAATTAAATCTTTTAGTTTACTGGCCACAAGTGATTTTGTTAGCTGTGCAGTTTCTATGATGATTTTCTAAATGTAGCAGTATGTGAAAATTAATACAGTATTTTTTATTTAGAATCATTGTCATTATCGGGGCTATGTGGAAGGAGTTTATAGTTCAGCTGTTGCTCTTAGTGACTGTTTTGGCCTCAGGTAAGGAATTTTCTGTGTCTGTTTTTTTTTGTTCTTTCTTTTTCCTATTTCTCACCTCTTATCTCTGTCTCCAAGCCAAGTCATTTTGAAAGTTTAACAAATTGAATTTTACTTTGATGTTACTGAAGTTCTTCATAGCTATGCTTCAGATATTCTTGGTATGTTTATTTAGAAAAATTTAGATGAATTTTAATATTTATAAAGCATATGTCGCTTTTGAGATCATTAAATAATTTTTGTTATTTAAAATAAAATACTTTAAACTTCTGTAGCATTTTATTTATAACATTTTCATCTGTATTATCTCATTTAAGTCCCATAATGCCTGAGGAATGGCTCGTTATCACCATATTTAGGTGAGCAAACTAAGGTTCAGAAAAAATATCATGTATGAAATGAAGTCATACTAATGTTAGTTCCTTTTATTGAAGGCTTGACAGTGTAGTACTCTGCTGGTTGATTGAGTAATTGAACAAGTAAGAATCACTTTTTGGTTTTTTTTTTTCAAGGTCATTGACAGGCTGTTGTTTTTGTTTCATTTTGTTTTTGTTTTTCTTTTTATTTTATGAAAAAATAAAACAAATTTTCATGACTAAGTTATAAGAGAATAACAACAGTTATTACACTATGTATATCATTACCTTCAAAGTAATTACTTACTACAAGACATAAACCAATCACTTTTAATTAAAGCAACTGTTTCTCTTCATTTAAGTAATTGTATTCACTGAATAGTTAATTGTGCTAGGGAATGTTCTAAGTATTTTATGCATATTAAATAATTTAGTTGTCAGAGCAGTCCTATGCCGAATATAAACTAAGGCAGAGGTTAAATGACTTGCTAGTAGAAAGCATGTTTGGGATTCAGAACGCTGATCCTTTGGTTGCAGACTTCACACTCTTAGGCATTTTTCTGCAGGACCTTCCATTTATAGCAGTTACTCAGAGAGGTTAAATAACTTTTCAGGCAGTGATGAATGTAAATAACTTTTCAAACAGCAGTTTTGAATGTAAATTTAGGTCTGCCTGACTCTAAAACCTTTTTTTTTTGGTAAAGCCTTTTTTTCCCTTTCTATCGTTTACACCTTCTTACATGTGTTAAGAAACTAGAACTTGAATTCAGGTTTTCTGATTCATTTTGCTATGTATTTTTTTTTGAAAAATGACGTATGTGTAATGCAATATTTAGAGGATTGCTGCATTTAGAGAACGCCAGTTATGGGATCGAACCCCTGCACAACAGCTCCCGCTTTGAGCACATCTTTTATCGAATGGATGATGTCCACAACAAAGAGCCTCTGAAATGTGGAGTTTCTAACATGGATATAGAGAAAGAAACCAGAAAGTGGGGAGAGGAAGAGCATCGAAGCATGACTCAGCTACTTCGAGTAAGGAAAAATACACTTTTTCATTGCTGACTTTGATGAAAACTTTAAAAAAATCATGTATTTATTCATTTAGCCAATATTTACTATTATTTCTCCCAGCTGCATGCCAGATACTGTGATAGGAACTAAGGGCATAAAAACACTAGCAATATGTATTTTGAGCTGTCAAGCTGAGAACAGTTTAGGTTCTGTGGGCTTTGGGAACTAGAGCTTAATGTTATGAACAGCACAAGAGAGGGCACTCAGAAGCAGACTTCATGAGAGAAAAGGTTGAATTTATTCTGTCTGCATCATAAGTGAAATCAGCTATCTGGGAGAAAAAACTTAAGTTTATACAGGGTTTGGGAAGGGGCTATGATCATAAGGAATGTTTATGACCAAGAGTACAAGGACGGTCAGCGCAGATGTGTAATCACTGGACTTCTCAGTGCCAAGGAGATTGCTTATCTGGTCCCAAATTTTCTTTATGACCATTTGTTCTGTTTACTGAAAGTAGCATGGGCCTTTTCCTGTTGTTTGCTAAGAATGGCATGTTTGCTGTGATGGTCTCCTTCAGGCCAGGCATGATGCTTAAACTTTAGACAGTAAGCATATTGAGAATTGCAACCTAATTGTCCAGTTCACTTTCAGAGCAATGGAGTTTGTATTCAGATACTTTATACATAAACCACAATGGTAATTTGTGAGCTCTGGATCAGGGAAGCAGAGAGAGATTTGGCTTTAGGATATTAATGACTTAAATTGTCTTCCAAGGACATTCATGTCTCTGATTTGAAATTTCTTTAGAACTCAATGATTTACCTTTGACTATAGTTCTTTAGACAGAAATGGGGCTGGGACTGGATTAATTTTAGCTGCCAGAAATAAAGCTTTTTACATGTGAGATGGTGTTGCTGTGTGGGAAGAGTTTTTTTTTTCTCCCCAGGCTGGCCCTGAAATCCTGGGCTCCTGGGACTAAAGGTATGCACCACTGTACCTAGTTTAAGGCATATTTTTAATTAACTAAGACTAATTTATGGCATTATTTTCATTGCATCTCCTACTGTTTATTCTTTTGGACTGTTCAGTTTATTATTTTTTGAAATTAAAAAAATTTATTACACTACATTTGCAGTACATAGTGATTACATCCATGATGGCAAGTTGGTATATGTACATAATACATTTTAATTCTTTTTACTGCCTCTTCCCCTCTCCCTCCTTCCTCCTTGTTTTAAGTTTAAACATTGGAGAGCTGGGGATTTACCTCAGTGGTTCTGCCGCCTGCCTCAAAAGCGCAAGGACCTGAGTTTGATCCCCAGTACCAAAAAAAAAAAACAAAAAAAACGATAAATAAATAAATTTAAACATTGGAAAACATTTAAATTTTTGCTTATCCTATTTGTATAAATTTCTGTAAAATGACATAATTAGTCATTTTTAAAAGTGGCAACCTTCTCCCAACTTCTGCTTTAGAATATTAGTCGATATTCTTTATTCAGTATTAGTGGATGTTATTCTTTGAATCCTGTTTCAACCTGGTAATGAGGTCTTTCATTAAAATATGTGTGTGTTGAGGGAGGTGTGTGTGTGTAGCTTTGATTTAAAAATAAATAATTTGAGTGCTTTGAAAACATGAATAGCCCATTTTATCGTTAACTAGAAGTTTTTTCTGATTAGTACACATAGCAGCTACCACTCATAATTGACATGGTTTTGGCTTTATTGATCAAGGTAAGATAGATAGGCGTTAGTAGACATGAGATATTGGTTAGAGATTAAGGTATGATCATTTGGGGCCTTATAATTTATTTTTGCTTTTCTGTGGTTGTGTATTTGACAGAGAAGAAGAGCTATCCTGCCGCAGACCCGATACGTGGAACTGTTCATTGTTGTAGACAAAGAACAGGTATGAATGGTGACAGTTTTCTTTTTTTTCATGAAAACCCATTGAGAAGTGAGCATCCCATGAAGGAAATAAAAATATGATAGATATTTGTACTAATTTTCCTTAACTGATAATTTTAGAACAAAAATATTTTTTTCCTTTAAACTTTAATACCACAATATAGCACCAAAAGCTGAATGTAGTAAATGAGACTACTTTTTACGAGTGATTTGCCCCATTTTTTCTAGCAGTTTAATTAAGCTAGATCTTTTGAGTAAGACTGTGTCTTATTAATTGGGCTTTTAAACTTTTCAGATTATATTACCTTAATGGGCTATTAATCATTATTGCCAATGAAATTGCTTTGCTTTATAAAAGTATAAACCAATACTTTAAGGGAGAAAACTTCCAAATCTTACCATGCTTTAGAAGGGAATAGTATTAATTTCAGGGTATAGGATAATATCAGGTCATTTTTCTTATTTTTGATTAAGAAATTGAACCAACTGCTTTGCTAAACTAAGAGAAGCAATATGTCTTTTTCACCATGTACAGAATTATCAGTTTTAGATATAGGTGCTATATAATTTAAAATACAGATTATTTGAAATGTTTTGACTTAAAAATTTTTTATTTTATTTTATTAGTACATGTTTGCAGTTTATGCAGTTTATAGTCATCTTGGGGAGTGGTTAAGTGTACATATTACAGCTTGGTTTTTTTAAAATCTCCTTCCTCTTCCTTCTACTTACCCATTTTGACTTTTTTTATTTTGTGTTAAAAGGCTTAACGTGATTGAGAGTTCTTTTTTTATAAGCTGCAGAAACAGGTGTGAGGATTTTTATTGTGTGTAGGTTGGAAATACCAAGCCCTGGTTATTAAGAGATAGAAACCGACTCAGATTTGTTCATTACAGATTCGTTACCTTCTAGCAGTAGAAGGAAAAGCATAGGGAATCTACTGTGTGAACTCTGCCCCAAATTATGGGTAAAATGTTTCCTCTTTTATTACTGCATGTTTGCGGTATATAATGTTTGCATTCCTCCTGTGGAGTTGGTACGTGTACATAACATACTCTTTTTTCACCCCCTAACTCTCCTCCTCTTCCCTCTCTCTCTCTACTATTAAAGTCTCCATATTTTGATCTCCTTTCCATTTGAGAAAGATCTATCTCCTTATTTCCTATTATCTGTCTTTTATTTTGCTTTTTATTTATTTATTTATTTATTTTTGTATTAAATTTTTTTATTGGTACATTGTAGGT